ATAGGACATTCAAGTTATTTCAATAGAATAGATGTCATACCAGCGACTACTTGTTCGTCTAATAAATTAATTAGCTCATCTTGATTCGCATTCACTCGAAGACAAACACGTTTATCACCAAGTAAAATTGACCATATATTTTTTTTATTCGCTCATGCGAGAAATTTAAGAACAAGGACATTTGTCTCTTCTAATCCTGTATCTTTATATTTGTTTTTCTTATCCTCTAAATATCAAGTACTTGTTTTTATTATTCATCGCATTTCTGCTGGAAAACATATGATAAACTTTCATGGTTATGTAAAATGTAACGAAAATTTTGTTCTGCGTTCTGCAAAACAAGATGTCTGAGTGATCATCTTTTGAGAGTCTATGGAGATAGGGATCCAAATTTTCATTTCTATACCTTCAACGTATCTTTAAGATCATGCTTCATCAAAATAGGAAACCTTTTCTTTTCTGCTCCTTTTTGCTAATCACAAAGTGGTAGCAGATGAAAATTGTAAAGTTTATTCGATTTCTATGCTTATATTTTATGAATAGTTTTTACACAGGTTATTATCCAGACATAAATTGACCTTCGAATGTTTTTATAGCCAATCATGTCTTTCAGTATAGTTTGTTATTCTAAACAAGTAACTCCACATCGACGTCAGGCTTTATGTTAAATAAAACGACTAATAATCATCTTCAATTGATAATTTACTTATTCATATTCAAATTGGAACATAACTTAATAAAACCTAACAACATAAGATATTCATACTTTAAATATCATCTGTAAGCCAGGTTAAATCTGAAGGCAAATAAACATAAACGTAAAGGCCTTTTTTTGGTTACAGTTTGCTAAGACAAAGTAAATCCCAATTGAATATACTGACGAACCTTACAACTGCGTAGATTCAATTAAAATTAAATCTAACTTTATATAAATACATAAGATTAGTTTTTTATTTTCATCTTATTCGATTTTGCATTATTTTTAATTCTTTTACATAATTCTGCTTAATTTTGTTAAATCTAAAAATTTATGTGTCAGCAGAACATAAATAACTAGAGGAAGCTATTACTATTTCTTTCAGTGCTGATGTGCCATTTATGTTCAGAATACTTCTATTGTGATTGTTTCTAGTCTGTCGAATGTAAAGAATAATATAAATCGAATAAAACAACATGAAGTGAAAGGTTTTATTTACACGAATTGTCTCATAAGATAATACGAAGAACTACATAACAATGTTATCTTATTCTTTCATTTAAAATTTATTAAAAATATTTAACAATAAAATTTAATGTAATAGAATAAACACTGATCCTCTTACTTTTCTGGTAGACATGTTCTACATAGAATACAGAAAATAAATTTTATTTTAACATGTTCTATATGAAAAAGATAGAAAATAACACTTGTTTTTGTTCCTCTTTTTTGTTTTAGACCATCTTCATCAGTAAGACACAATTTAGCATTGATATTGTCAGTTTTAAATCGTATACCACAAGTAAATTCAGGATGTCATGCAAAAGTCACTTAATCGAGGAAAAAATTAAGTATCTCTCCCATGTGTTGATCAAATGAGCTAATTTTTTCATCACTCACAAAGATATCTTCATAGTTCATATTCATCAGAAAACCGTTGGCAAAAACTGTTTTGAAGTGTCACCGTTGACTTAAACAAAATTCAAAAGTTCTGAAAAGAAAAACCATGTATCTTAGTTATCGCAAAAAGTCTTGCTACTAGGTAAAATGTATCTAAAGTTTAATCCTTTCATCTCACAGTTTGACCAATAATAAAGGTTCGTTCTTTAGGCAAGAAGATCTCAACATAGAAAATCTAATCTTATGATATTTGATCTCTCATTCAACAGCTCAGTGTGGTCTTTGTGATCGATAAAAATTCCATATCAAATAATTTAGTGTGCCTGATTTACGAGACGTTCTTTGGATAATTCTCACATGAAAATTTATGAGAATTGTCGAAACGTGCCCACTACTTCATACAAATGTCTTTTGGTCACATATCTATGCCAAAAGTTCATATTCTGTTGCACATTATACTCTGAAATTTTTAGTCCTAAATGATGAGAATATGTTGATATGTTTTGAAAACTCATAAAAGAGCATAACAATTTTGTCATCGTTTTTAAGTAATGTTATACTCATAAAACATGCTACGTTGCAGTTATATAATACTCTGTAGATTCATTCAATAATATGCATATGTTTAGAAAAGATTAATTGCATTGTATGCAGTAATAGTACATGATGAAATTATTTTCGAACGAAATGAAATTGTTTCAATATTATTTTAATATTTTTTTTCATACTTTTATAAAAAAAACTTCAAATTTCTATGTATTCATCATATTAGAGCACACCAAAGTTATCGTTTAATTAAAAGCTTTAATTAATATAATTAAACTATTTATTTCTTTCAGATTTATCTAATTGTTCAATAAAATGATTTCTCAATAATGATTTGATGTCTATCAATTATCGTTAACAATTACTCGACTGTGAGGAAATATAATAAGAATATGAATAAACTTTGAATGTTGCTTTTTTATTTAAAATTGAAGCACACACAGCGCTTGCTTTATGTCTGTTACGTTTGCGCATTTTAAACGAACACGTTTGCAAAAAAAAAAGTAAATGTGCACTATCGATATTATTGCTTCTAACGTTCTTTTTTTCTTCTATCGTTCGCTGTTCGTTGTGTTTGTCGCCATACCTTTAGTTTTAAATAGAGTGCTGCACGCATTTAAAATACAGAAAGAAAAAAAGAAGAATCAGAATTCAACGGAGGCATACTCTTTTTTCTACACATTTTCGTATTGATAGAAAAAGTACGAGGAAGTAACAATGTATCCAAATCTTGGACCAGGAAACACACAACCATCAGCCCCACCAATTTCTTCTTCAACATCTGCATCACTACCTAATCGTACTACGAATACAAACCAGGCAGGATTTTCAAGTATGATGTCTCAACCATCCACTCAAAATACACCTTATGCGAGCGGACAACGATCTCAGCTACCATATCCAAGTGCTTCTCCATCATCATCTTACACAAGCCCTTATCCAACAAATGCTCAGCCACCAAATACAAATAATTATTCACCATATTCACTTCCAAACATTGGACAACAACAACCCCCAGCAGCATTTCAAGGTCAGCTTCAGTCATTGTTTAAAATTCAATAAATTTCATTATTAATCAATCATGAGAATGTCTGTTTTCATAGGTAGTGGTTTTAATCAAAGTCCATATTCACAAGCATATCCTGGTAATCAACGACCACCACTACCACAACAATCAGGTTAATCGAATTTTGAAGTCTATTGAAAGATTAGTTTTTAATATCAAAGAAACTAAGTATGAGAGGTTTTATAATGTTAACAAAAAAACATTAGATAGATTCGAGTCAAATTAAAGTTATTATTGGCAAATAAACAAATTTAAAATATGAACTGCTCATGGTGTGTACCAAGCGAGGGCATGGATTTTTAAGATATTGACGGCTGCATATATACGATATCCCAGAGTCAAAATTCTATTAATATTTTTTTTTATTACAGTTAGATAAAGCTTGTCGAGTGGCATAAGAAAAAGTGCGTTTCAAATTTAAAAGATTCCATAAAATTTAGAAATCTTTGGTCTATTTTCCTTATATTTGAAGATAATGATACATTGGACTTATATTTTTTTTTTAATTTTGAAACACACCTTTTCGTTATACAATTAGACAAGCTCTATTCAGTCAAGCATTAAGTAAAAAGAAAAATAAATAATATTCAAATTTTGGCTTGCGGCTATATCATATATACTCTAAATACCTAAAAAAACACATAATTCCGCTCTATGTACATCATGGGCAGCTCATATTTTTAATGACTAGTATTTATTTGAGCAATAAAAATATTGAAATGAGCAATAATAAAACTTTATTTGAGCAATTCTATATTATTAAATGTACAATAATTAATTCATTAAATAGCAGTAGTAATTTCGTATTAGAGCAATAAAAAAAGAAAAACTACATTACTTTTAGTTACAATTGAAAATAAAAAAAATAAAAATGAAAAAAAAATAGTGTATTATTGTGTCAATAATGCTTTTTTTGCTTTAAATGATCTGCCTCTTTTTCCTTTTGTACTAATTTTCACAATTTTTAGCCTCTGATGGAGGGTTGCAATATTTTAACTTAATGAACATACCAATGATGTGCTTGACAATATAATTTTTAAGGAATGATGAGCAAGTGCAAGTTGCTTTTCTCTACTCTTCAGCATTGTTAGATAAACATAACCACCATATGTTGAAGTAGACGAACTTGTAGGCATGGGTGGGATATGGATGTGGGTATTAGTCTTTTCTTTGCACAAACTCCACACCCTCCTTTTTTTTGTTTTTTAACCTCTTCACTATTATTAGAAGACTTCAGTTCCATATTATTATAACTTTGAATATCAAAAATATACTGCGCTACGAGTTGTGATTGAGCCATTTGTATAAATTATATGTTTTATTTAATAAAATTTAGAAAATACGCATTTGTAGAAGTAAAGCAATTCATATTGCCCTTTTAAATAAAATTTACCCTCAATGTAAGTAAATTATTGCTCATTTACTATAAATATTTCTAAATTTAATTATTGGTCATTTAAATTATTTTATTGCTCAATTATATATAAGCCATTTTTAATTTGTTAGTTTGGCAGGTAAGTAGTATGCTTGATGTCAGTGCAACACCTGATGTTGTTGTCAAAGCCGTTAAAAATGTGCGTCTTTAGGGAGTGTCAAAGAACGATAAGCGAGTAATCACAACTTCCTACTCTTCTAGAATCGTAATAGTTCGATCAAATAAAATGAAAATTTAACTGAAACTAAAACTTTCACATCTAGATGCAGTATACGATATAATTTTTTCTAGCAAATACTGCAAATTATCAAACTCCATATCAACAATCAAATCCTTATCAGTCATCAAATCCATATCAACAATGGAATCCCAATCAACCACCAAATCCATATCAACAATGGAACCCTAACCAACCATCGAATCCATATCAACCTCAACCTCAACAAGGTAAACAATATATTTAGGTTCTTTGAAGTACTCTAATTCGAATAATTCTTAGGTGGTTATCCACAACAACAACCATTTCAAAATACCTATGGAGCATCATATCCTCAGCAACCTCAAGGTAATACGAGACTCTTGTAGAACAGTAAAAGTTTTCGTAATTCGTATCTTTATTTTTGAATAGGTGGATATCCTCAAAACGATCCACAATTTGGTTTGTAATTTTGTAATAATTTGATTGAATATTTTTGTTTATCTCACAGGTGGTGGTTACAACACAAATCTTCCTAATAATCGTCTTCGAGAAATAGCTACAAAATATGAAATAAGTGATATATTAGTACAACGTCTAAATGTGCTTCAACAATTTGAAATTGTTGTACTTTGTGATGATTCTGGTTCAATGAATACACCTGTTGATGGAACAACTGGTACTCGTTGGGATGAATTAAGAGCTATCGTACAAATTATTATCGATATCGGTACTGTATTTGATTCGAATGGTGTTGATGTACATTTTCTTAATCGACCTCCTATGCTTAATGTTACTGATACTCGCCAAGTTATTGAATCGTTTAGTCAACGTCCTCAAGGATTAACACCTCTTACTGCTGCTTTACGACGAATTTTTCAATCCGGAGCAAGTAAACCTGGTAGTAATAAACGGTTACTAGTATTTGTAGCTACAGATGGAGCACCGACAGATAATTCTGGTAATGTTGATATACAAAGTTTAGAAAATTTAATGCGCCATGAACGTCAATCAAATACAATGTATGTAACATTTCTTGCTTGTACTGATGATGAAGCAAGTGTAAATTATTTATCTCAATGGGATCGTACAATGATAAATGTTGATGTTGTTGATGATTATAAATCAGAACGAGAAGAAGTACGTCGAACTAAAGGATTCAATTATCCATTTTCATTTGGTGATTACGTTGTTAAAGCATTAATTGGTGCTGTTGATCCACAAATGGATGCTCTTGATGAATATGCAAATAGTAATAAACCTTGGTAGACTTTTATTATTAATAAACAACTTTTCTTGAATTTTTTTTTATTAATTTTTCATTAATTTAATCTAACATTTATGCAAGAAATGCAAATTGATATTGTAAACCTTTGTCTATGTTACTTTCATTCAACTGTTTCAATTTTTTTCTGTACTAATAAATAATTAATCTCAATAACACAGCAATTATAGATGCAACTAAAAGTTATATTATTTATAAAATTATTTAGAACTATCGACCGGCCAATCCGCGATGAGTTCTTAGAGAAGATATTGAAAAACGAAATTTTGGAATCATTTTCCATTAAATTTCGGTTTGTTATGTGATCAATCTGTAGGAAAAATTCTTCTCTTTCAGCCTCTACAAGCTTCAAATTCTTAGCTACTTCGTTTCAAGAGTTGCAAAAGGTTTTCTGAATGTCTCCAATTTCAGCGATCTGATCTTGAATGATTCCAAAAAAAGTATCTCAGTAGTTTTGAATTTGAAAAATTTCTCTTTACAGCATACATCTCGTCTTCAATATCCTCATGAACTGAAGACTCCAACCCATACCCCACACCCACACCCTCGAGATTCGAACTTGAAATCCAATTTTTTTAATGACTTTTTTTCGATTCCTCACTAAAAAGTTATAATTGGATTTTAGCTCTACAAATATCATAAATTTGGAAGTCGTATTTAAATTGCTCCAGTTGGGATTCCTATGTAAAAAATGGACAAAAAGTCAGATTAAAACAGATTTTCCGAAAGGTAACTAAACATAGTCGACTATAATAGATTTCCCCGAGTCATAGTCGATTAAGTCTTTTGTCGATCACTAGAATTTACATTGGAAAATATGATTGTAATTGATTTTGTGTAAGAGGAATAAATTAAAATAAATTCTTATTTTTAATTCAATCAAGATTTGTTATTATTAATCGATTTTTATAGATTTTCTCAGTTTCAATCAGATTTTTGGCGCTTTTGTTCACACAGAATTCACTCTAGAAAATCGATTTTTTTCTGTCTAAATCATCGTAAGTCACTAACGGTTTATAAATTAAAATTAATCTTTCAAATTAATCTATTAAAATCATGTTGTCGAATGAAAATCGAAGCAATCAATTAAAGATCTAATCAAATTTAATCGACAACACTTTACCTGAACTAATTAGATTATTCATCAATTTCTGGAATTTCCAATAGAAGAAATCGATGAAAGTCAAAGCTATGTTTTTCATGAATTATTTTTTTTATTGTCTTTGGGATAATCTGTTTTAGTCTGATTTTTTTGTCCATTTTTTTTATACATGGGATACATCTGAAGTTAGCAGTCATGACTAACAATACAAATATAGAATAGAATTCAATACGAATATCTAAGTGCAATAACGACTTTATATTGACGCCTAGTATAGAGCCTTCGTTATGCCTATGGACATTCCATCCAACGGTTACACTTGTTTTTAATGACGACGATAGCTAACTTGACTACCATCCTTGAAAAAAAAACATTTATTTTGAATCTAAGCAGACGCAGATGTCCTATTTCAACTGTTCGCTATTGCTATCGCAATCAAATCGATTCATAATTTTTCATACATTGTTACATTAAAGCTTTCTGTCTCGGAATAGACTGCATAACAAATACAGAATAGTATGTACTATGGACTATTTTATATCGATATCTTACCAACAATGCAGTTCATACGCCAGTTTTTATAAAGATGAAGAGTATCTAGACTTTTATGTCACAAAATGAAAAGATTGAATGATGCCAAATTAATCCATGTTTTCTAATTATTTGTATCCAAGGATCTAACAGACGTCAAAGAGAATAAGAAAGAGCGAAATGAATGAATTTGTTGGTATATGAATATTGTTGCTTACGAGAGAGAAGCAACGAATCTTCATCACCGTACTTGATTCATAACTGTGATAAGATACTGTAGGTTCATCTGAAATAGCTTCTATTTGTGGAAATATTCATTGAATCAAGTCTCTCCCATTCAGGTGCAAATATGGGAATAAAATTATTATAATAAATAAAGATAAACACGTTAAGTTCGAATTATTTGCATCGCTTATGACTATGGAAAAATTCAAGAATGTAGTAGATTGAAATCAGCGTATTTTAGTAGCAGTAATAGTTCTGAATATATGACGAAATTGAGTTCGACTGATAATTCTTAAGATCTCAAATCGATAAATGGGTCATTTTCATCTTTCCTAGACAATAATTGGTGTACTTGTTGAGAGACTAAAACGGAATAAATCAGTGTTGTTCTGTTTTTGAAATAAAAAGAACTTGTAGAAAATTACTATTTCGTGATCAAACTAGTTTTTGTAATTGACAATAACTATCATTTTGATAATTTAACATCGCAATATTTTGAATCGAAACCTTTCCATTATGACCGAAATTAATGAAACGATTTATTGCATCTGAAATAATAAAACTCTGTTTACTAGAAGAAGATTAACGGAGAGAATAGTTAGACAAGATATTGAACGTGTAAATCACACATGGATGAAAATTATATCAATCTCTCTAAGCAATATCACTGAAGAAAAACGATCATCACAGACCGAAAGTAGTCAACATCTTCTCTTCGGACATCAATTACTTGCAAGATCAAAGGATCTAGAATAGCCACAATCATGCGAAATATGCGGAAGTGAATATTCAATTGCATAAAATTTACTTTGAACTTAACATTCGAAAGATTCATGGAAAGTCAAAAACTATTCTCTTATGATCCGAGTGGTACTAGTAGCGGCATTGACATTCCATTGAGACAAAACAGGCTCGAATTTGAAATGAAAGTAGAAAGATTTGCTACCCATCAGTCTGTAACTAATAACTTTTTCGAAGATATTGTAAAACGCAAGAATTATTTAGTGTGAAAAATGCTACGGACAGAAAATCAAGATGAAAATTTGTTAATCGATTATTAAATAAAATTCGTCTACAGAAGATTTACAGCTAAAATTGTTTTCATTTAGTTTTTTTCTTGATTGTTTTATTAACCATCGTCGAAAATTTTATTTGTTTATTTCTAGAATTTGTGCATTTTGCTGATAATATATAGTTAAAAAGGATAATTGCTTCAGCTCATATAACAATATTCGTATTATTTTACTAACATCAAAACAGTCTCTCATAACTAATCGTTCGATATTTGGAAATAAATAGCACATATTTCTTATTTTGTTTTCTTGTAATTTAACTAATCCAGAACAATGAATTTCTAATTGCATGATATTTTTAAATTGAATTGTGATTTCATGATCAGTCATGATGCTTATACTATGTATCATATCCATTAGAACACTATAATCGATTGCAATTGATATTTCTCTCGTATTCCGTGTAAGAATATCAAAAAATTAATTTGACCTTCAAATCTAATATTTTTAATTGATGATATATTTACAATTCTATCCAATTGTTCATAAGTTATGTCATCATCTATATCATATATTTCTAATGATTGAAGATTTGTAAAATGATCATTGTATATAATAGATTGTGAAAAGTTTAGCAATGTCTAATGTTGTACATTCAACATGTCACTTAGTTTTACTGTTGATATTCGTTCTGGTAAGCTTCTTCGATATGTAAAGTAATTATTCATATACAGTATTGTATATATCTGAAAAGAACAAGGATTCATGCGATAATCACATGCAACATACCATTTTTTTTCTATGAACCAAAAGTCTGTCATGAACGATTCTATTAATTGCTTAATATCTACATCAGAGTTGTATGCACTAAAGATAAACTTGAAAATTTCTAGTTGAGGCATGTATTTTTGAATAAAATTTTCCCAAGTATAACCATAGAGAAACTTTTCTTCATCATTACCACAGAATTCATTGCATTTTAATGCCAAATATTTCAATCGAGTGAAACATGACAAATTTTCTAATAAATATCGACTTTTTTCTTTTTCTTCAAGCCTATCTATTTTTATCTTGGTTAATGTTTCAAATGTTTGCTGTTGATTAAAATGAGTATCGAAACAAAACTCATGAATATGAATGGATTTCATATGGATTGTATGAACAAGGAGCCACTCGAATTCATCAAAACTCATCATACGAAATTCGTAATGTTGAATATTTGATTTTTGATTCGTAAACGTGCTTTTAATTTCTGTAAAAAATGAATAATTCCTATTCCATTTAAAATATTTTAATGTTTTAATTTCAAATAAAATTTTGAATCTAATTTGTTCTATTGTACTAGAATTTCCGTATTTGAAGCAATCGTAATTTATCGATAAGTACTTTAATTGTTGAAAATTTGATAATAACCAAACGAAAGATTAAATTATATTATCACTAGAATGAATCAATGATAATGATTCCACTCTAAGATAAAATAATTCGATGGGATATTTTACTAGACATTCATGAATATTTGTAAATAAAAAATGCTTATTGGACAATGTTAACGATTTAACATGTTGAGGATTCAATGATAAATTTTGAATAAGATTAAATTTTGTCTTCGTTATTACATGATCAAAACTTAAATGATAATAATGATATGAATGTAATAATGATTGAAAACGATCATTTAGATGATCAAATGCATAAGTGATAACATGACAATATAAATATTCGAATATAGATATGATTAATTCATTTGGTAGGTCTTCAAATATTGTTGTATTAGTTTTATTTACTGTTTTAATTTGTCAAACAAGATGATTACCTTCGACAATATTATTTTTCTTATCATTGTTTATACCAAATCATTTCAGAAAGAACATGCTTTTGAAAAGTGTAGTTTAGTTGATGAAACCTAGTTTAATAGTCGATTCTAAAAATTCTTTGCGTCAGTTACAGTGTCACAAATGATAAGATAACGAAGTTTCTATTTGCTTGATGAAATATTTTTTCAAAATGGATGACTGTTTCATGATAATGCACAATTCTTTTTCTTTCATTAAAGAATGGATATAAATGTTGTATTTATTCTTTCATGAATATTAATAACCGCATACATGTGGGAATGGCGGGCTCTGAATACTGGGCGTGGATGTGGTTGTAGATATGAAAATGAGAAGAAGACTCGCATCCACCCCCGCACCCATACCCACATCACCCACACAGATCCATACCCACACTCACCTACATCCAAAGCCACACCCATACCCCAAATCGTCACTCAATGTATGAATCCCTGACATTTGAGCTGAACAAACGGTACAAAATACTGGTGCCGAATGCAGATTATCTTACTTCTCATCACGAGATCAAACCATAAGTTCCATTGAAGTCTGTAAGTGTCGGACCTGTGCATTTCCGTTTTTTCTCTATTTAACTCTACGATATTATATAGAAATATGTATTCAAATTCACTGAATGATATTAATCGAGATTCTTATTTTTCAATGTAGAGGTTTTGTTTTCGACCGTCATTTTTCCACAAACATCGATTCCTCTTGAGTGTCATTGCAGAAACGTAACATTCTTGAATGGACGCGCTCATAAGTTGATCAGCTTAGCTTTGCTTCAACAAGCGTACGCACTTTAGAACTCTGACTAGATGAAACTACATCCATTTTTTTTCTATGATAATATTATCTTACGTCGAATGTCTCGAATATGATTTAGAACAACACAGTTGTTCAAATTATTTTTATAGTGGTAAATGAAAAACCAGATGTAGCGAGCCGAACCCATGTTTTTGGATTCGATTTGACTGACATCGAATCGAATCGAATAGGCGGCTCGGCTTCAGTCTCTGACACAGACAAATACTGTTATGCTTTGGACCCTTTGTTTCAGACAAGGAAAAATCATTTTCTCTCACTAGTAGATCGCCTCCAAACGTCTGCTCGATTAGCTTAAAATATGGGTTTTATCAGTCGTTTCTTCGTCATCTTCTATCAGGCATTCTACATTCAGCATCTTCTTTATTATCGATTGTTACATGTTGCGTTGTCAATTTGTCTATATCAGCATACTCGTCATCCTCAGTCTCATACACGTATCAAGTAAAAGTACCAACATGCAACTTTAACAATGGCCTTTCGACAAGACCCAGCCTATTTGTGTTTGGATGACATTTCAGTAGTGTGTCAAACGGAAAGGGGCAAACTTGATACGAAATTCGAGATTTGAGGCCGATACTCTCACTGATTATTATATTGTCTACAATTCAACATGATCAGTGCGTCAGAAAAAGCTGAAACATATTGTCATCATTTGGGTTCCTATTGCAGTTTTGATAGAAGTATCACTTGTTTTGGATTATTTCTCACAATCATTCTATGCTACGGTTGGCAGTTTTCGGCTAAAAAACCTTAACGTTCCATAAATTCGATAACGATCATGACCAACAGCTAATTTTCTTCGTAAACTTTGAATATTATTTAGAACTCTTTCGACTTTTGATCAAGAAAACCTCTGAAATAAGTTTTATTTCTGATAAATAAGTGTTTAAAACAGGCTATGAGCTGTTGTCTTGGCACACCATCTCGACATGTTAAGATAATGCAAAACAATTTTTAACGCCTCACTTGTTCCGATTCTTTCCAAAGCTAACAATGCATTCCCATTCACGTATCGATTTTGATCCAAATAAAGTGCGTCTTTTAGACTGGGTATTGCTTGTGATGCTTTAGCACCAAGTTTAGCCATGGATAATGCAGCCGTAAATCTCACATGGGATGCTTCTTTAGGATTTTTCTGTTGATCTCGATCCACAAGAACATTTGTCAAACATTGCACTACCATGTCAATATACTGCTGTTCATTTAATTGGATAGTTCCCAGTGCTTCACAGCAGTATTGTTTCACTAACCATGAATGACTCGTTTCAACGACGTGTATCAATAATGGCAATGTATCCAATGCTGTAGATCCCATTTCGGAAAAAATGAATGCAATACAATATGCTATGGATTCATTCTTTTCTTCTCTTTTCAATACTGCTTGTAATTCAGCAATCACGTCTTTGTTATATCGGCAAGCCGTTAATGCATAAGCCGCTTCGAGACGAACAATTTCGTTGCGTTTATATAATTGTTCGATTAAGATATTGTATTCATTATTCATAGCTAGATTATAAGCTGCATTAAGACGAATTTTTCCATCTTCATTATTGAGCTGTGTTTTCCACGTAGCGATATCTTGATCAATGGGAAGTTGTTGTAAGATGATGGCACGACCTATCATCCAGTTCCAGACATGTTTCACAATTGGTTGTAATAACCCTGCATCAGCTGCATCGTAATAGGCGTTTGTTGGGTCATGATTCCATGTTGGTTGTGTTGGTTCTTCAAGTCGATTAAACTGAAACTTAAACATAAAACGATGTGAATCATTTGTTCGATTGGCTGTTCCTCTATGCACAATATCATAATGAATTAATACCACAGTACCAGCTGTACAAACGAGATAAATATCGTGTTGATCGTCATTCTTTTTATTTGGATTTTCTAGTGTTTTATGATGTGAACCTATTTTCGGCTCCATCATATTGTATTGTGACTGAGGTTTGATAGCAGTGGGTCCCATCTCCATAGTTGTATCTTGAGGATAATACATGGCCATGATATAACGTAATTGATGATGGCGAAGTGACTTTCGATAGCCAAAATAACTATCTTTATGCCAGTGTTGAACTTTAGTTCCAGGACTTGTTAAATGAGCATGTCGATGTGGTTGCATAGTGTAATTTGAACCCAATAAACTTATTAATGCACCTTTAATTACTGGATCGTCGAATACATTCTGAAGTTGAGGAATTCGTGGAAGAATATTATTCCCTGGATTGCCATCTTTCGCAAAAATTGACTGAGCTTGAGTAAATATTGTTGAGTGAAAATTTTCATCAAGAGATGTAGGCTGAAGAATCAAATAACCATTAATTAAAAAGTCCTGCACCTGTTTATCACTCAATAATAATAGTGTCTCCATCGTTCGCCTTCTTACAAAACTAAAAAAAGTAAATATGACATTATCTTCATTTTTCGTAATACAAAAATAAATATTGAGTCATGGTTTGTTGCGAAATTTATGAATCATTCATTTCTGTTTAAGAGAATACAAAACGACAAATTGTGATCGTATCTTGCAATGCAACTTTTGTAAAAGTTGCAGAAAAGAAAAAATCTAAGTAAAATCGAACACTTCTCGATCTTTCCCATTCTTTAATGAATTTTTATTCTCTATAGACAATTGTGGTTACAGGTGTAAAAGTGAATATTCTCTTCACCCACACCCCACACACACCTACATCTATCCACATCCACATCCACGCTCACACAACACCCACACCCTTATTCTCCATAACACGTTCTTGACTGTTGGATAATATAGGTTCCATAATAATAACATTGAAACGGCGAAGATCTGAACTTATTGAAATGAAGCGAGTCAAGCCAGGGAGACACAGTCTGCAGATTGACCAAAAAAAACAACTATCAAAAGGTTGCTTTTTCCTTATTCCGTCTTTCCGAAAAACGAATCCATTGTTAAATTGGAAAAAAACAACCGTACATGCACATACATCTACAACCAAACAAAAACGTACACGAACAGTTATTTATTCCTTCAACTTTCTCGATTTTCACACAAGGAAAAAGGATTCAATTTTCTTTTTCATCATTTAATAGTACTCACGTCGTACTGTGTTTTTTGCAAAAATTATCTATATATATTTTGTCGTCTTCTTGCTTGTATGCGCAGTTTTTCTAATCAGTTATATTAAGTAATCATTGCTCTAAGTTGCATCAGAACTGAACAAAAGCACGAATGCTGAAGTACCACTATTTCGTAGCTGTTTTCTTTCGAATAATTTTGTAACGATTCGCAAATGGATAGTCGTTACTACTTGATTTCATCTTATGTAGTGCTGAATGCTTTCTTACACTTGTGATGATGACAGTGTTGTTTCAGTTTCACAGCCTACTTTACCAATATAAGTTCTTACTTTGGATTTTTTTCGTTGAAAATTGCATATTCATCAACCAATACAAACAACACTATATGTGGTTTGCACATAAAAGTCGTTTGCGAGGAGATTTTTGGCAGTTGTCAACATAGGGACAAGTTTGATTAGAAGCATTTGGATAATGTATATGTTTTTTTCAAGAATAATAACATAGTATATCTTAAATCTTCTACATTTCATTACTCCTGTCTCTCTTCATATATTTCTATTCCTTTGTTTTTCTTGTCGATATTTTTTTTGATATATTTAGTAAACATCTTCAAGAGCTCATGAAATAAAAACAAATCTGAAATACAGTCTATCATTATTATTGTTGCGCCACCTTAGTATTTATTGGTTAATGATGCATCCTTACATTAGCTAGTAATTACACAATCACGAGTCATTTAGGATATATGCTATGCAATGTACACTCAGAAGAGAAAAAATATGTAAAAGAAACAATGTTAATGTCTAACCACGTTACTTCATCGCTTCTTACATTACCCATCGAACTTGTATTTCGTATTCTCGATGATCTCGATGAAATAACAATATTCTTGTATGTTCGAAATGTTTGCACGCAATTGAAAGCAATCACTGATGCTTACTATCGATACCAAGTAAAAACATATGTTTCTATTTTTCATTCTGGTTTTTATTATTTCTGAATCATGATAATTCATTCAATAATATTATATTGTTTTCACTTGTTTATCTTACTGATTTCGAAATGATAGATCAATTAAAATAGCATCTTGTTCTAACATAAAAAATCATAAGTGGAAGACTTAACCTCGATCGAACACTTTTCTTTATTGATCTCTATCATATATCTTTCAAAATATCTGATTAGATAGTAAACAATATTAATATCAATTTCGTTGTGGGTACAAACACCTTTGGTATCTCACAAAACCTCTACTTTCTAATTTTCTTTTCCACTAACTGCTCTTAATAGCTTACAGAATTAGACTTAAATTCTTTCTAATTGTTGTCATATCATCATAAACAAGATTGAATATAAGACTAAATTATCATTTAATATTTCATACAGGCATTCTCCACATTGACCATCCAATATAAAAGATTCAATGAAGAACAAATAATTTGTCTAGTCAAATCATTAAAAAATAATACAGTGAGACTGATTTACTACTCATCTTTCTATCTTATATCTTCCTTAAAATTCAATACAGGTAGTGACAACATTAATTCTTGCATGGAATAAAATCGGTCAGCAAGGAATACAATATCTGATTGATGCAATGAAAAATGATACAGTATAATACATTCTCTATTAATCGATCGTACCTTTATAAATATCATTCAACATAGACACTTAGTACATTGGATTTTCGATCAAACGAAATAGAAGACAAAGAGGGACAATGCTTTGCGAATTTACTACAACATAATACTGTGAGATAAGTTCTACTTTCATTCATCTCATACTCATCTTTATTATTTCAACACAGACACTTACAACATTATATCTCTATGCGAATCAAATGACCACTAAAGGAGTACAATACCTAATCAATGCATTACAAGATAACAAAGTAAGACTCGTTTTGCTTATTTATCTGTTACTGATCTATAGTATTCGTTACAGACACTTACAACGTTATATTTCTATAACAACCAAATCAGTATTCAAGGAGCACTATCTCTGGCGAATGTATTACAAAATAATACTGTGCGATAAGATCTATTTGTAACTAATCTATATGTTTATAAAATCGTTCATTATAGACACTCACAACATTGTATCTTGATAACAACAAAATCGGCATTCAAGGAACACAATGTTTAGCTAATGCATTACAAAATAATAAAGCACGACTACTTGTTCATTTATCTCTTTTGTTTTGATTTTTATCCTTTAAAACAGACGCTCATAGCGCTACATCTAGTAACTAACCAAATCGGTACTCAAGGAGCACAGTATCTAGCAAATGCATTAGAAAATAATAAAGTAACACTAGTTCTACATTCGTTTATCTCAAATAATCATAATAATTTCTCACAGACACTCACGACATTAGATCTCGGGGGTAATAGCATCAATGATGAAGGAGTACGATATTTGGCTAATAGTTTACAAAATAATACGGTGAAAATAGTTCGTCATTCATTCCTGTTGTATTTACTTTTATCCTCGTTTCTAGACACTTAGTACACTCAATCTTCCAACTAACGGTATCAGTTCCGAAGGGATAAGACATCTTTCTAATGCATTGCAAAAACATACTGTAAAATAATTTCTCTGTTCATTCGTATTATACTTATTTTTTACTGAATATAGGCACTTACCATATTGAATCTTTACAATAATAGCATTAGCTCTCAAGGAGCACACTATTTAGCGAATATATTACGAATCAATAAAGTAAGACTAACTATAAGATAATCAATAGTTATCTATTTTATGCTTCTTTTTCTTATACAGACACTGACTATTTTGAATCTTGGATGTAACAGAATTGGTATGGAAGGAATGCAATATCTGGCGAATGCAATAGAAAATAACACTGTAAGACAAGATAAGATTTCTGTTAATCTTTGTCAAATTCATCGTATATTTATTCAATATAGACACTTACAACGTTAAATCTTGAAGGAAGTTGCATTCATGCTGAAGGAACACAATATTTAGCTCAAGCTTTGCAAAATAATACAGTAAGATTAAGATCTTCATTGATTTATGTCATATTCTTTTTTATCATTTATCATAGAGTTTGACCGTATTGAACCTTAAATCGAACTTAATTTCCACTGAAGGTGCACAACATCTAGCTAAAGCATTAAAAACCAATAAAGTGAGACAAACTGTTCTGTGTATCCATCTTAAATTTATTCTTATTACTTCGTACAGAGTCTTATAACACTTGATCTTGCAAGAAATAATATTAACGAACAAGGAGTAAGATGTCTAGCTAGTGCACTAGAAAAGAATACAGTAATTCGAATTTTCTATCTATTGGTCCTTTCTACATATTTATCATTTGTTACAGACACTCATGACATTAGATTTTGGCTACAATAGTATTGATGACAAAGGAATACAACATTTAGCTAATGCATTAAAAAATAATATTGTTAGAACAATCTTCTATTAGTGTCTTTCACGTTGATTTTTATCTTTCTAAACAGACACTCACTACATTGAGTCTCTATCATAATAGAATCAGCTTACAAGGAGCTCTATATCTAGCTAATGCATTACAAAATAATAAAGTAAGATAAGTAATTGTATTGTCATATATTTTATTTTTATAGTTTACAGACACTTACATCGCTTGATCTTGGATATAATCAAATTGGTATTCAAAACGTACGATCTCTGACTTATGAATTACGACGTCATAAAGTAAATCTAGTTCTTTATCATTCATTACATATCTAATATAATTATTTATCAAAGACATTCATCACGATAAATCTTGAAAATAACGATAGGGTATATGAATAAGCACAATATCCAATTGCTTCAATACAAAGTACTATGAAAAGAACATAGCAGTAATAACGAAAAAAAATCAAAATTTTTTACGATGCAATTTGTTATTTGATTTTAAAATAAATGATGCTTTGATATTATTGTATGTTTAACATTTGAGTTCTAGTTTTTCACTAATTATCTTTTCATAAAAATAATGAATAATGCAAATGGATGCGAACTATGATGACAATAATGATGATTTTATACTTTTTACTTATCCTCTATAGGTTACCAAGATATTCTTGTCTAGTTTTTCTAATAACAAGCAATTTTCCATTGAATGTGAACTTCACTTTCTCTCTATCTTTCACTTGTTTATATTTGTGTTTCAAATCACGTTTCTTACCACTTTTAAAACGACATGCTGAATGAACATAAGAGCTCTGCTCTTTTGGGTTGACAATGACGATTTTGATTTGTTTGTTACTTCTAAAAGTAAGATTTATCTGGAAAATAAACGAAACATCTATGAACTGAACTAAAAGTGTTTTGTTTTTCATACAGGAGGAATGTGCATAAGGCACGAAAATGATCGACTTGGCTTTTGATTATCATTGAGCTTAACATCACACAGTATGTGCAAGATAATACGATGTTTATTCAAATCAATATAGATTTTTAAGCACTCTATCAGGTGAAATATTAATGAAATATGAACAACATACAGATACAGAAGAGGAAAATTTGATGAGAAAGATTTTATTTCCGATGAGAGCTTCTTAGAGAATTCAATGACAATGAGAGATTATTTCGAAATTGAATCTCTTTTTTGTACTTATTAAAATTTTTAGAAGTGTTCGAATTCAAGTTTGGTATAATTCATTAGAGAACGCTTTGTTTTCTTATCTTAACAATTGTTCATCAAAATATAAGGCATAGTTCATTAGATGTGTATTCCTTATTGTTTTCTAAAGTCTTTCTATTTCTTTATTCGACCGTGGAATCAACAATGGAAAATCGAAATAAGATTTAATCGACTGAAAATTGGTCATTGTTCGTCACTAAAACATGGAATGGCAATGGAAAACGGATAAGATATAAAGGCTAAAATTACAGTCTTTGAATAATCGATGAAAACATACGGTATAGTGGAGCATGAGAAATGTCTTTTCATAGTTTTACTACTGTGCATATCAAAACAATAAAACAGTGCTTTTCGAAGTATTTGTTTACAATTCGAGTTCAAACTTAATGTCAACAGAAGAAACTATTCAATTCGAGTGGTGATGGAGATGCATCGATATTCAAATAAAATCGACCAGCACAACAAATTCACAAACGAGAGAAAAATGTTTCTCTTCAAAATATTTGAACAATACACAAAATCTTAGCAACTCAATCTGAAGTTGCTGATATGTCCTAAATAGAGAACTGTGAGTATGGGTGAACAGAATATGTGTGACCAACACTCTACATACTGTTGAGTGTTGATATTGTGATTACTGAAGATCCTATGAATAGCTGGCATGTAAAATGACAACAAAATTATATCTTGTTGGGAATTCAAAAATTCTTAACAAACCGATTTTGTATAATCACTAACAAGGAAAAAATACACTCCATAGATATTATTCGAGAATGAGTTGTTTGATGCACCAATAAACTCGAAATGGTACATAATACAGCATCTATCGAGTGTTGATAAATGTATCATCTTATACAAATATGTCAAGTCGTTCATAACTAATAACATATAACAAATAAAGAACATCAATTTTGTGGAGTTTCTTGAAGATAATAAGTAACACTTCATTAGATAAATCTATATTTCATTAATTCCTCTTTAATTCTAAATGTTATGTTTCAAGAAATATGTATACGTTCGTTTTTCTTTTCTAACTTGTTTTAGTAGAAAATATATTAACAGATCATGTCCTATTTTCAGAATTTATTTATTTTAATTAGCGATCATGTCAAATATCCATCAAAACGAAAATACTTTATAGAGAATAAATGGTGGTTTGTGTACTTACAGAGTGACATTTATGCATTGAAAATGTTCAAATAAATCGTACACCTTTTTTACGCCCGATAAAATCTCTCAGAAAATAGAAAAGAATTCCATTAGTTACAATAATTTTCACACAGAAATTGTGATTCCTATCTAATATTTTCGTCTAAATATTAAAGTTTACTAAAATATGGATTCATAAAATGTTTGTCTTATAACATTTCATGGTAGTCATTGATGAATTTTCTAACAATTATCTGTGCTAATAAACAAAATAAAGCAAGATTTTCTTTTTATCTCTGAAAAATCTACACTTTTGCTGATATGGTTAACATGAACAGATGTCGGATAGAAGCTTTTTTTAAACTAATATAGATATGAAGAAACCAGCTAAACGTATTTGAGTCACATTAAAAGAAAACAAATCGATGTCGAGATGAACATCGTTGAAGTGTAACACAATCGATATATTTTTTTTTTCTTTCAGAAAGAAACTATGTTTCGCTTATTTTGACAGTTGCATCGTTTGGAAGAGAGAATCGTAAGTGCGATTATTCAACAACAAAAATATGCCAGCTTTCAGCTATTCTGTGGTATAAGTTTGTTTGTGGAAACAAGGTCGAATAGCACGATATTTTTCTTAGAACTACTATTAGCTGTAGTTCTGGACAGAAGTCTAACCTTATTCAAGATTTTTCTGTTTAATCACTTGAGCTTTCTGTATACATTGACTAGTCACAAAGGTCGGTGTATGTCTCAACGTAGTTAGTATGCTATCGCACGTGTCTCCCAAGATAAGTGATTGTAGTGATTTGTTCAAAAGTATTTCATGTCATATATGTACCGAACAGCTCAACCGTAGTGCCTGCACATTCAGACCCATTGAAATTTACACATCATTCATACTCACCTTCGTATTTTGATAAGTTCGTCAAAATGACAAGGTACCTATCATCTCTATCTGTTTATTTTAGTGAGTTGATTGTTATATTATGTATTTTGTTGTTATTGATATAGGTTCCGACTTTGATTTTGTCGATCGATGTTTGCTGTTGATGAATAGCTCGAATTTCTGCAAGTATCAAACATCGTGTGAAAGCATTGAAATCAGCTAGTCGAACTTGAGCAGATGCTTCTAATGAATTGTGATCATTGAATATTGCAAACGTGCTTTATTCTCTTAGTCAGATATTAAACAATGAACGACGGTATAGCAATGAGAACAGACATGTGCATGTAAAAAAATGATCAAAAAGCTAGAATTTTAGAAAAAAAGTCAGGGCCTCAAAGATTTGCTTTTTAAGTAGCTTGCTATTAGAAAATGAAACGTCCTTTTTCGTTTTCGAGATCATCACGATCGCGAAACAACTAATATTGCAGTTTTACCAGTAAATTCTTGATATTTATGAGTGGAACTTTGAGAATAAACAGAATAACAAGACATATATCCACAGTATAACTATGAGACTGAATGACCTTATCAGTTATGCACATTTTTTTTTTCATGGCAAACAACGTTCTAAACATTCCATCTATTGTAGAAAATCAAATGATAGATCTTTCTTTCTTCTAACAAATTTTCATAAAAAATCTATTCTTCGGTTTGAATCTGCTTTTACAATAGAATATGTTCCATTTGTAAGTATAATCGTTTAATATTTTTCAGATGAAGCACAATAAAAGCTTAAATTAAACTGGATCGTCTAAGGCATTTTCATTGGGTATGGGTGCGGATGTGAAGAAAAGGAACAAAAAGATCCCCACATCCAGACTCTCATTCGGCAGCGGGATCCACACCCTCCGCTTTCATATTTGCTCTGAGCAAATATTTGATACGTAGCTTATAATGTAGAGACGTATTATCACAAACAACATATCTTTTCATATTTCAAAATAACAAAAAGGCTTGAAACGTCGAGTGTCTCTTAAAAATTGAAGTTTCTGATGATTCTTTTTTCATTTTAGTGCTACTCAACAGTGACTCAGCTAAAATTCATCTGCTGATAAAAGTCTATCAAATGGCTTTTTGCAAAAATCGCCCTGTTGCTTGAGGGGAGTTCTTTTGTCGGAGAGTAGCTGTGTCTTCTCCTCACCAACACACACATCCACATCCACCATAAAGAAATACATCTTCTTTATGATTTCGCATTGTTTTTGTATACTACAAAACTATTAAAAGATTATACTTCACACTTGATCGACATTAAATATTTGAATTTGAAATTCTAAATTTTTTCTGTATCATTAAAATAAATCAAGATATACTCGGTACAGAATTTTCATATGTTAGTTGGCCAAGGAAAAGTGATGATTTTAAAAGATTTTTTTCAAGAACATTACTTGAAACTGGTCATGATATGCTTCTCTTTGGATTTCAAAGATAGTTATGATGTCATGAGTTGTTGTTATTAATCGTATATCACTTGTAAATTTTAGAGAATAATTTAAAACTTTTAATCTTGATTTATAAAGTGTATGAACGTGCACGAAAACGTCAACAAGATAATAATTCACGTAATACTGCAGACTGCGATACAAATACAATACAATTTGTGATTTTTCTGCGCTTATGCTATATCAAGATAATTTTACTTTATTTTTATCGACATATTTCTTTTTATCATTATATGTAGGCCGAGATATTAATTTTGCTGCACTACGTATCAAAAATTATCGAAGTTTTTGTAATAAATTTTAGAATGCTATTCGATTTAAAAAGTCGAAAGAATTGAATATTAACGATCTAAACTGTTTCGAATCATTGACAGAATATTAAATAATCGTAAAAAATTAGTTTCAACTCTAGATAAAGTAAATTAAAACTCAAGTTTTTCTCGGTTATCAGTAGTAAATAATCATGTGATTTATGTATCTTAACTCGATTAAATTATTGTTATTGAATACAGCGAAATAGTTTTAATAATTATTTGTTTCCTCGAGTAGTAGCAACTACACACCCACACTACACGCTCGCATTCACCCTCAAGTTTCATGTGCATTATTATTCAATCCAATCCTGTACTTCAAGGATTAAAAAAAAATGTCTTCTCCTCTTACCAACCAATTTTTTAATGTTAACAAATGGCCTGAATACAGAAAACGCCAAAATGTACTAGTAGACTAGAAATATAAAACCTCATCGAAAGTCTACATTGGTGTCACTTGCACAGTGGCTTTTCGCTTTTCAGTAGAACCAATACCGGGATATGGGAGTACATCTCGAAGCACGACTTCGTATGTAACCGTTCCTAATGTCACTTGAGTTGAACCGAGCTGTTGTCCTGGTCGCAGAATCAAGCTAACCGAACGAGAGTCTGTGGTCGTTGATAGGAGCAATTTGACTTCAACTTGACCTGCCCAAATGCACATGGCGTTCGCCGGACAGCGGCTGTCCTGAATTGAATCGATGCTTACTGTTATGCCGGAGGGTAGTCGTTCTGATTCGTGAACAGCAAGTGAGACAGAGTTTGATGCTGGAGTACGTGGTATCGATTTACAAGCCACCATTCCAAAGCACAAAAGTGCACTAATCACGATTAATTGGTAATAGTATGGCATGATGCTCTACTGCAAGTTAGAAGGCTTCGAGTATTTTATTCCGAAAAAAATGTGTGTGTTTCAAGTATGCAAATGGCTTTTTATATGCGATGACTTAGATCGCTCCAATCAGAAAGCAACACGTGGTTATCAATCGATTGTTTGATGTCAAAGAAAAAATAAACTTTTATGAGATTGTTGGAATGCATGTTTGCAACGCTTGTAATTCCTCTTCACCGAAAGACTTTTGAAACGTTTTATATTGAATCAATAGACGGCGCCATGATATAAATCTGTTTGCCCAAGAGTACGGCTGAGAGAAGTAAAGATAAGATACATTCACACTCCACATATACATATGTATGTATGTAGCGTATTCTACCTAGTGTGAACCAATCAGAACATGATCCATGGTTTACCACAGGTGACCCAACATTCTTTCTTTCTTTATCTACAGCCTACGAACGAACACACATATACATGTGTGGAATATAAGATATTAAAAAAAAACACTACTATAATTTGGTGTATTGCTTCTATTACAATTTTTATCATATTGTTCGTCGATAGCATTACTTAATCACTAAAAATAATGTCGACGAGCATCTTATTCTTTATCGCAGGCGATTGTTGCCCTTTTGTGAGCGCATTAATCGTACATTAATTAAAAATTCATACGACTAGTTATCAACGATCATCAATCGCTACAGGCTTTACTTTAGATGATCTAATTATTCAAAAATATCAACGAGTTGCTCGGTTTCTGTTGGATGAAGCAGCGTTGAGTTGAAAGACATAGACTGTTTTGGAGACTTCTTGGACGAAGAGTGTGGTGTTGTGGGTGTGGATGCTTTATATTCAGACGCACCACCACACCCACACTCGCACATGTGTGTAACTGAGCACACGAGAAGACGAGAGATAGTTCTTTAATATCATGGGAATTAACTCTCTAATGAGAGGTTCAGTGCTTATTTCTTCGACAACAGTTGTGTTAGTAGTCAATTCTTAACTCAACATGACTGTAACGAAATCAGGTCTCTTGAATCCTAGGAAAGTTTGATGAATGGTCATTTAGCTGAACCACCTGAACAAAATATGAAACTTCTAAGTTTTGATTACTCTGTCTACAAGCGGATACTACAGAATCACTAGCTGCTTTCTAGACGCTGATTTAGCTATTTTCAATCGTCAGGCTCTGATACTATCTCAAAACTCTCACTTATTTAATAATAAGAACTGCGCTTTACTTCATATTTTCGATTCATAATATGAATTATACTTCCGTCATAATAATAATTCTTTGTTTAAGTTCCATATGACTCAGGGAAGGAGAACAAAACTCATAAGTACTCTCTAAGCCAAGAGCAATCTTCCTTAGAAGTAACAGAAAAAAATCAGTGACTTTATGGTGAACCAATTATTTAGACAAGACATGAAAAATAAAGTGGAAACCAATATCATAGCTTTAAACAATGAGTCAAAGAGAGCCAACGGAATATGGCTGATGAATTTATTTCAACTGTCGTAGTAAATCAGTGGTTAGCTGATGGGCAGAGTTTATAAAATACAAGCATTGCTTATCAATACAAAGAAACGATCTGTTTCCAAGGATTTGCCAAAGGCTCTCCAACAAATACACCTTGAAATGTTTGCAATACACTCTTCCAATAGGCTTCAATAAGGATTTCGCCTTTGGTATAGTGTGAAATCATAATTGTAGGATTCGGAAATTTCTCTGCATAGGCACAAGGCTCACTAACACTTCCAAATGTTCCCGTAGTGCCACCAGCAATAAATTCAAGTGCGGACATTTGATACGAATCGGTTAGCATTCCACCATAGGAAGTCAGATGATCTGCTACGGCACTTGGTGGATAGGTGTTCTTATCGATATTGTTAACAGCTAGTAATTCTTGAAAATAAAAAGTGCATCTGTAGTTCCTGCAATCCAATTAGCATTTTTTATTTGAACATCAACGTAAGAACTTAAATTTGTTCCTAAGTTGCTGGAAGGAAAAACTCTGCCTCGAAGATTTCGGATTCCATCATTCGTGTTCATTATATAAGCAGATCCTTGTGTTTGTGTTCCATCAGAAGCCATTCCTCGATCAATCAACTGTTTGGCTTGCTCAATATTCAATACTGCGAGCATCATTGCTGGACGCATCCTCAAATCACTGAATGGCTGAGTAGAATTGGATCCAAAATATGAAAATGAAGTTGCCCAGGTGCATGTTCCTGTATTACAAGGACTTTCCATAAAACCCAAGGCCAATGCTGATGTAATTGAGTTACATTCGACACGCGAGGGCATTGTCCATGCAATTGCAATTGCCTGTACAGTTTCAGGTAACATCGAATCAACTTGAGCTTTCAACGGTTGAAATTCAGTTCGACTTAGCTGGATCACTTTCGAGATATTCAAATGAACAATGTTCTCTAGAGGAATATTACGGCGTCTTGCATAGTACTCCCCGAGGATAACACTATCTGGATCGTTGTCATTAATTAGAAGGCCGAGTTGTCGAGGTTGAAGACCACTCCTCTGAGAAAGTGTTACTATAACTTGCGGTGTTTTTTGCGAAGGTCCTGTTTCTGGAATTGTAACTATCGTAAAGAAATAAGTAATCCCATTATGAAGTCCAGTAACCTTAAAGGAGCTGATCGCTGACTTCATGGTTCTTGTCAAAGTTCTAACACTTGTACCATAGTGAACTAAATAACCTATCGCCTCGGGTACTTTATTCCAAGTCAAGAACACATTTCCATCACCGGGTACTGCAGTCAAAACTGTGAAGCTTGTTGACGATCAAGTACCTGAAATTGAAAATGTCTTCCCTAAATATGTTACTTTGTTTGATTAGAAGTGGAGTTTCAACAAAATTCTCTTTGTATTAGTCACATCTATGGACAAGATCTTGTTAAGTGAATCCAGTTGAGTGTCAGATCTGAACCTTTACGGTTCATTTGTGCTATGATAATAATTAAAATTGTAACAGAAATGAACAACAAATTATCAGTCCGCATTCCGGTGTAGCTTTCAACTGTTACAATTTCAGATCAACCGTGCTTGCTACGAAAAAGATGATAATAAATCTCGAGTATTGTATTTCGAGTTGTACAAGATAAATTTGGAAAAAATTCTAACATTGTTCTCACTTTCTATTGTGCCATTATTTGCATCAATCGTGGACAAAAAGTGGACTACATAGAAGATTAACAATGGCATATTGCATCCTTCCAATATTAAGGAAAAGTAAAAATGATATTAACAATAGAGACAACAACAATATTACTCTTATCGTCTCCGTTGGTGTTTCAAGTAACTGGTACTCGTTACTAAGTATTAGAAAGGCTTTCAGAGCGAAAGGAAAATAATCTCCATAAATTGATAGAAAATTGATACTGTATTGGTGCAAGAAGTAATAAATAAGAAAAAAAATTGTAATGCATGTATCTTCTGAAGAACCTAAGATAACAAACAGTAACAAAATGAAGAACCAAATGAATAATGATTTGCAGTTAAATATAGCAAACAGTAGATAAAGTCATGTCTTCACCCAAAGTTTGGTTTGAGTGATTGAATGCGTGTTAGTTTTCTGCTTATGCATTTTATATCATTTAGTAAACTTCATATTTGCTCAGTAGAAGTTTGTAGACCGCCAATATTACTTAGGGCTATCCAAAGATAGTGACAGTAGCACTTCTATTCCTTATATCAAGCTTCAAGAAACTTTCTCTCTACAAAGTCTGATAGAGGAAAGAATGCTCTATTTTTCTTTGCTATTTGATCATACTTCAACTAATATCATAATAATAAAATTTCGATAAGATCTGTTTTGTTCTCATGTGTCACGGTTATAATAATACTCATTTTAAAAAATATGAATGAGTTTTTTTTCATGTAACTTTTGATAAAAACAATACAGAGAACTGTGGTTTTCACCATTCGAAAAAGGAGATGAAGACGCATCGAATCATATATTCCAGGGTTTCGTGATCTGTTTTTTGCCAGGTTTTCAACTGACCTTTTCAAGAGGAAACCTATCCAGTAAGTTGTTTACAGTGAATTTTCAATTATCAAGTATGAATTCAAACCACTAATCGAAGATCTACAAAGTGCGGAAGGTTCAAATGAATAATATGAATTGTAGTCGAGCCTCTGATATGTGTTTCTAACAAAGTCCGTAAAACAAAGCTCACTTTTTGTGCTTTTTCTTTTTCCCATAAAAAAACATTCTTGTGACAGTTAGAACTATTGAATCAAAATACTTCAGAAGTCAATATTAGAAAAACCTATAACACACGATTCGATGCATCTTCATCTCCTCTTTCCAACGGAGGAAACCGCACTTCTCTATGATGTATACATCAAAATTTATTCAAAAACCACTCACTAGTAAATCATGTAATCGTGACACACGAGAACAAAACAGATCTTATCGAAATTTTATTATTTTGATACTTGTTGAAGTATGACCAAATAGCAAAGAAAAATAGAGCATTCTTATCTCTATCAGGATATGTAAAGAGAAAGTTTCTTTAAGCTTGTTATAAGGAATACAAATGCTACTGCCACTAATTTTGGATTACCCTAAGTAATTTTCAAATAAACATGTCAGAGAGTGTGTGGATGTGGATATGAGTGTGCAATAACTCATAACATGCACTCACACCCACACCCTATAAACCAAAAGTTCGAATATATGGTGATCAACTATCTGACATACAAGTTAGGTGAAGCTCGATTCGTTTATTGCCGAAGATATTTTTAGAGAAAAAAAGACTCGGCAGATTAAACGAGATTTGATATTTTTTGTTCGTGTTTAATAGAAAGAAAATTTTACTGAATGAAAATTATCACATTCGATTGTTCCTATAAATCTTTCTGTTAAGTGTAATAACTGTGTGAAACGAGAACGTCCGCTAACATTTCAAGTTGTTCATCAGTAAATTTTTTCCGATGTTCATGCCAAGAATCATAATGTGTGCGACGAAATTCAGACATACATTCTTTGATCGATTTCTAGAATAAAAGAAACCCAATTGATTCTTGAAATAGCAAATAAAAAGTGACTCACTTGAATCAAATAAGGATCATACGAATATTTGCACAGAGCCCTTAAGGCATCCGGTACATAAATTGAAATATCATAAGGACTTGAAAGAACAATAGCACAAAGACCCAAAATACCTAAAATAACATTACATTCAATCGAACATATTAGAGAAAAAAAGATGCATTATATGTCATTCTCTACAGATATACAAATCTATCACAGTCGTATATGCTGAAGTAGAAGAAGTTAATCGAAACTTTTATTCGTATCACCGAATAGTCATTTCCTATGGTGTTTCGCAAAATATTCTCTTGGATAGAATCTGAGAAAAAAATTAGTGGTCAACTAATAAAATCTCTTAGGAGTCATGTTTTATTACAAGTATTGACGTGTTAGTTTATTTGCATGATTTTCTTTATATGTTCAAGATGTGAAGCGTTTGAAAGAAAAATATTTAGGTAAAGTTGAACGTCAAATGATGAACATCATCGATATTACTTTCTACTATTCGAAGCGACTAATTCAAGGCATAGATTGAAAACAAATCACATCTTCATAGTGATTTGATACTAAGAAACATATAATGGATTATGTTCGCTGAACTAAGAGTAACAATATCGTTCTGATCATTGAGAATTATATTGTTAAATACTCACCACCATGTTTTTTGATAATATCTTTGGTCGACATCACTTTCTTGCCATCGATTATCGTAAAATAAGTAATATGGCTCATCTCCAGAAAGTATTTCTTTGATGACGGAAATGAATTACAATATGTTTCAACAGAAAAAAGTAAATCAAATCATCCTACCAGTTCGTTCTCAGTTACTGCAATATAGCCGCATTGATATAAACCTGACAAAGTTTTCGATGCAATTAATCGTACTTCTAGTTGTTCATCGAACAACGATTTGAGTACAAGTTCGTGTAATCGCTTAGCATGACAACGAACATTGAATAAATTACAAAAGATCATATTTTGAATGAATTCAATAGCTGCTCGACGTGCATGCCACTTTGCAGCTGTACAAACCTATATATCGAATAAGAAATCAATTAAAAAAAAACAAGGATCTTATTTTGATAAGGTATACATGTTCCAATTGTTGAATGAGTGTTTCTAATAGATGTGGATTTAAATAGGCCATACCAATATGCATACGATAAAATGCTAAACGTTTTTTAAAATCGTCATCATTGGTAGCAATACTTTCAATTTGACAAAGCTAAATGAAACATGTGCATGCATGTGTGACAGTTCAAATTTAATAGACATGAAAATATCTCAATCAACGTACATATGGAAATAGACAAATAATGCCTTCCTTAATTGGTTGATGACTTCGTATAAATAAATTTGAATGTATATCAATCACTGTATTATATCCGAAGAAAATATTTCAAGTATGAATATTATAATTTTACCTGTTTCGATCAGATTCAATGCTTGACGGGCTTCGACATCGAGTTCAACACTTGAACCAGAAACATTGACTAAAGAACATGTCTTTGTTTTTTTAACAAAATTGACTTTTGTAAAGATCGAAAAACAAAACTTTCTGATCTCTTACTTAGTGGTTTCTTTTGATAGATTTCAATGGCTTGATGTAATCGTTCACGTATCATATCGATGAATTGATTGGCATCGGGATGACGTGTTGATTTACCATCAAATAATGTCAGATTGAGTCCAAATGAAATCGACAAAATGCTAATAAAACCAAAAGAGTAAGTCGTTTCCACTTGAATACAAAATTCAGTTGAAAATTATCTTACGCAGCAATACGTTCTCGTATCCATTTGGATGGATGATCGAGTAGGTCTTTCGCTTTTTCATGGATTAAATGCCAAACAGATGGAATACGCCATTGAAAAACTCGAAGACATTGAACTAAATACCAACGAGATGCTTCATTGAATGTATAGGCGCTTGTTTGTTGATTGATTAATGTACAAATGAATTGAATTGGTCGACACATTCGACGAGGATCTGTGTCACTCTTTCAAAATATAACAATCATTTGTTCGAATTTTAATCTTAATTTCAAGTGGCAAACAAAAAAAAACAACAACTTACCAAACAGTATCGAATACAAGAACCCCAATGAAAATATGTTTCATGGTTAAGATTGACGCTAACTTCAGTGAGAAGTGGTGTAAGTTTTTGCCAAAGTTCATCTAGCTAAATTGAAATCGATTTTTTGTAATTATTTTCTAATAGAATCTCTTGAAATCGAATCAATTTTACTTACCATTTCTAGTGTCCAATATTTTGAACCACGAATCATGCCAGCTACAATTTCAGCTGCCGCTCGATGACTACCTTCATATTTCTCTTGTATCTTTTCACGAATGAGTATGTATGATTGTTCGATGAAATTGTCAACAAATGCCAAGCCAAAATTACGAAAGAGACCCTTAATAATAGTCAATTATTTTTTATATAAAATATCAAAAGAAACTGCTTCGAAAACTCGAATAATCTCAAACAAAATTCGAATAAATTGATATTTTCTACTTATTCGATTTACCTTGTACATTAAAAATCGAGTTTTGTTGAAGTCAATTGTACCTTCATCATATATAATAAGTTTATTAAATTTTGTCATGAAATTTTTGTCAAGAAAACGATCAAAGATGATTGATACGTGTTTCGGCATTTGGTCACGAATGTAAGATTCACATTTATTCATTGGATATTCGATCATCTTTGGCCATTGATAATAACCATGAAATACTTTATCCAAGAAGCACACTTGTTCCCATTCTCTTTGTACTTTAGGACATTTATAATCATTATATGTTATCCATAAATTATCATCACGATCACCTGGCTGAGATAGATCGTTGACGACCATGCTTACCGATTGATCAATACTATGAAGAATTTCTTTGAATGATTTTTCTACATAAATTTGCGGCGGTTTTTGTAAACGACAAAAAGCTGCAATTGCTTTGATAGCATCCTGAAAAAATTCGTATTACAAAAATTTTCATTAATTAGTTGAAACAAATATTTTTCAACATACCTTTCTTAATTCAATATTATCATGAATAAGAAAATCAAGACAAGTTTCAATACATGACGATGGTATAGGTACATGTTTTTGAAGAAGTAAACATAAGAAAGACAAAGCCATCTTTTTTTGTCCCCATGTTCTGAAAAATTCTCAAAGAAAATAATTAAAATAAATAAAATCACATAAAGCAACACTTGCAATATTTCATCATTAAGTAGCGAACACAGTGCATCGATCAATTCATTGTACGATTGAATATTTGTTTGATGATGTTTTTCTTGTATTTGCATGCCAATCTTCATCTCACTTGGTTCTAACGGGTGCCATAGAGCTATTGCAGCACATTCGGATATCTGATTGGTATTATTGATGAGTGGAATTGTAACAAATTTCTTTTCTATATTTTTCTTTATATTTTGAATCAAATTTTGTATGCTAGGTTTTTTCGTGTGACTTCGACGAACAATCGATGGCCATAATTTTTTCATTATTGTCCATGAGTATCTTGTTGGCAAGAAGATATTATTATTGCCCAAAAGAATATGCAGACAACCCTAATACGATATGATTAAAAGCATAGGTTGAATATAAAATAAAGTAAAGAACCTTGATTTGGTTTTCATTGAGTTCACCTGGTGTATCGAGTAATTCAACAATACGATCAATAATAATTTCGAATGAAAAGGAATAGTGATTGAGAAAGAAGAAGAGTTCCTCTTGAGCAAAGCGACGTATCTATAATAAGAATGAAAACGATTGATAGTTAAACAATATTCATTTACTTCACTATATCGATTGATTGATAGATCGAATAATTTCAATTCAATTTGTTTATCAATTTCTGTTAATACTCGATTATTGTGCCATTCAAATTCCTAATCATAAACAAAAATAATTATCCACTAGTCCGATATCGATATTCGAGACTATACTTCGATTTGTAATGTAATTTGATTGATTATTAGACAATATGGATTATCTCGTTCACCAATAATTTCATTTCGAAACAATTTTCTCATGGATTGAACATTTTTGCACAATCGAGATAGCTCATCAGAAAATACACCAAAGTATTCAGACGATAGTACACACGTCTACGAATTTCTATTAATTATATAGTTTCGATCAATACAATCACTACTTACAGCAAGAGCATCTTTTATTGATAAGATATCATCCGATTGATTTTCAATTAGCATATCTAAATAAAATCGTAAAATCTTGATCAATTTGTAGAAAACTTACTGAGTAATTCGCCTATGTCAAGAACAAGACGCATTCGTAAATTTTCTTGGAACTCTAAGACAAAAAAATAAAATAAATCGTATTTTGACGATGAATATTTGCCGAAGAATAAATACTCGAATTCAATTTTTGGTAATAGATTGGATAAAGACTATGAGGTTGTGAATCACAGGGAACCATTGACAAGAAACTTCAATAATGACAAGTGTTAAAACTTGTTTTGTTGAAATGCTATTTTTCTGTATGCAGTATTTACTTACAGATCTTGAACTTGTTTGCTTTCGATACGTGGTACAATGCGGAAGCATCCAACAGCTATCCTCTTAATAATTCGAAGTGATCTTTGTCGTTCATCTTTCGAAATTTTCGAAAAATTCTCTTTCAATAATGTTAATTCTGAATAGATAAATGTATTGACAAAATCACAAGCAAAATCGATTTCATCAACATTAGGAATGTGATAATGAACTTGAATTTGATTGAAATCAACATTTTGTCCCCATGTCTGAAGATTTACATCAATAGTTCAAACATTAGAGAAAAAAAAACTTACTCGAATAGGTAAGTCATCAACAAATGACTCATCAAAATTTTTTCTATTCAAACGATCATCTATTGGATAAACATTCAAAAGTGATCGAAGTAAATGTTTGATTGCGATAGAAATAGCTTCATAAGAATCTTTATGAAGTATACGAATAGATTGATGAAAGACTGATTTAATCATTTGTTGGTAAGCAAGTAAAGTATCACCGCGTGCTTGAACTAATTCAGCGAACAGAATCAAATACCAAGTTAGTTCTAGATCACCATTATGATCGTTTAAAAGAGTTATGTCAGTTTGACCTAAGATCTTTTTGATTGATTCACATGTTTGTGGTAAGAGACACTTCAGTGTTTCAATTGGATGACATTTGACCATCGCTCGAACGAGACCAGCAACTAGTTTTCTCACTTTCGGCAAAAAAATTGAACCAGTAATAAAATGTGTTATTTCTTTCATTATCATCTAAATATCATACAAGTACATATAGATAGCAGAAGACCTTATGATGATTTGTAAGCAATTGTTAGAAACTGAGTTGCTTTATTTCTTTGAGAAGAATCCAAGTCTTTTATCTGCTTTAGAAGTGCTTATCGGATAGAGCTTAGTGATGAATACATTTAAAAGAAAGACCAGTCTGATCAAAAACTTACTTGATAAATATTGTTACTACATTGTTGTAGAATACTGGTCATTATTGATGTTAATTTCACTTGTAACATATCATAATCTCTTTGATCTTCATTGTTGATTACAGCATCTGATACGTCTGTTGATAGTATATTAATCATTTGAAATATTCGATCGAGAAATTTTGCTATAAAATCTTCAAATTTTGCAGTGGATAGACAAACTTCTTTTTCAATCTAGATGAAATAAATATATATGCAGTGTTCTGTTTTCATTCAAAATTAGTATTCATATTTCACCTCATTAAGATCATTTCGAATATGTACTGCCGAAGAACAATCAATACATGAGATTAACATAAAAATAGCATCGAAGAAATCCAATGTTACTGATGTCTTTTCAAAATCATTCAAATCGATGCCGGGTAAAATTGACATAAGTAATGGTAAAATATATGTTTGTCCACAAGAATAGGACGATGTTTGTCGTACTAATTGACGAGTCATACCTATTAGACAGCGCAGGAGCGATGTAAAACGATGTGCTTCTATTAGGTTGTCGGTGGATAATAAGAGTCTAAAGAAAAAGATCGAAATTTAATCATTAAAAACCGAAATTCATTGCATATCAGACTTATCGACAATCGGTGGCACAATTGAGTCAGGTCGAAACATGGCCAAATATTGACAAGCTTCAGCAACCTCTTTTGTATAATCCTTGTTAAATATGGACAGAAGTGCATATTCTTTGATACAATCGACAAAATTTGTAATATCTTGCTCGGTAAGTCGATAGGATTCATGGGGCACGAAGTGCCAATCAGGGCAAACTTTGTGTTCTCTAGAAAATATACAATCAATAAAAATTTAGATCTTACAATCAATGTTCATATTTACAGATGAATTCGATCGACAAAATATTGAGCCATATATAACACGAATTCGACCAGTCCTTTTTGAAATTTTCCTGTATTTGACGGATAATAGAAACTTTTTATAGCCATCAATAAATCTCGTAAATATTGAAGACAAGAACTTCCATTGCCTATCATTGCAACGATCCATCGTGAGATATCTGGGACATAATGAGTATCTTTGTTAATAGACAATTGCATAGTACCAATTGGAAGAGAAAAACCTCGAAGAATACGTGTAAAAATCTACTAGACTAAAGCTTGAATGATGAATACAAAAGACAAAAAAACAAAAATTTCAAAACCTGTGGTAACCATGGTTCCCAATCTATATAACCAATATTGTTCCATGCAAGACGCGTAAAAAGTTGAATGATGCGCTTAATTCAATTATAAAAAATGGTGAACAAAATTATGCTTCGAACTTACCATTCTCCATCGTACATCATTATAGACACTATCCCAAATACCAAAAAACTCAGATAGCCATAATCTATCATGAAAGAAGCATTACATGGAACATCAATATAATGGAGAAACAATACACATACTTGAATCCTTGATGATGTAAAGATGGTGGTAGATTGATTGGTAGAAAAATTTCGAGTAGTTTCATAGCGTCATACATTGAGTTATTATCAACAGGGCATAATTGTGGGCGAATTTCATCGAGAATTTCTTGAGTAGCTGTTGCTGAAAAGTACGGAGAACATTGTCGCACACACACAACAATTGTAACATCAAAATCTCTTGAAAGTAGTGAAAATAATTAGAGATCTATTTCAACTGTTCTATGAAGAGTTACTAACTTAGGTAAGATAACCAAATTATAAGTACTATCATAACCATCGATACTAAATTTAGCCCATCGATAGAATATCCGCCAGTCGATTGTTAGATCATTTCGATTGATTAGCCGAGTCTTTCTGAAAAGTATTATGAATAGAATTATTTGAAAAATTTACTCAATTTCATTGTATAATATATAAATGGACAAATAATAACTTACTGCAAAAGTTTGTTAAGCATTTGAAAACAGATTAATGCATCGATACAACTGAGTTCACTTATGGAAAGAATAGAGACGTAAAATTCAATAAGTTTGACATGATTAATTTTATTGAAAAAAAATCCATAGAGTGAAATGAATTCTTCTAATATGTGCGACCAAATTTTAAAGCCGGGTATAAATTCACCTATTTGAATAGTACGTGATAGATTTTCTAAAATTTCCTCGAATGATATCGATGCTTGTTGTTTTATCGTTTCATAACATGGTAAGTATAGATTATAAATATTTGGTCTCTGCAAATTCGTATCATACATATCCGAACGCTGTTCATCTATGATCGGATAATTATTCATTGATGTATCTAAAAATTAAAAATCATTACCATCCGCACTATCTTTCTTTCATTTATACTGTTGTATTGTATTAATCCAATAGAATCGGAATGGAATATGTAGTCAAAATTTGCGATGTCTATTTATTTATCATTAGCAAAAGAAAAAATTCATTTCCGCGGTAGTGTTAGCAAGGAAGATAATGTCACTCTATTTCGAGACAAGCACGAAATGTGAGATGATGAAAATAACTCTCGTCTTTTGTCATTCGTCGAATTCTCTTTCACATGATTATTTAACTCATTCTTTTGTTGATTTACATTCCACTTGATAATTTTTAAATTCTTTATATGTTTCTGTCTTTACTTTTTCATTTTCTCGCGTCCTATATTTTTCATACTGTTCTTTTTCGTGACGATAGCCTCATTCTATAGAGATTATTGTTGCATGGCAACTTCATATTATCAAAAACATAGTATTTACGAACACCTTTAAACGACTGTAAATATTTGTCTGATCCTCATAGAAAACACTTCTAAACAAGGAAGAATTTGAAATATCTAGCAACAATAGAACGATGGCTGTCGAAATTCGACGAGAAACACGATGACATTCTTCATTAGAAAAGACCTATTTTAGATGCATATGTCATTGAAATCGTTTCATTGCAACGAAAGGAAGCATAAACTTCGATAGCATGGTACAAGTCAGCTTTTCTCATTATCAAGAGAGAAAATTCGAACTAGCTACCATTTATTTCGATTCAAATAAAAATCTAAGTTTAGTTTATCTTAGAAATATTTTTTTTTTATCTGATCTTGTATGAGTGAGAGCTCCTACCTTTTCTTTTCGACAATGAAGCCTTTTGAATGCATTACCTGTTTGTCATACGATTCATTTTTCTTTGACTTTCAAAATTTAAACACACGTGATTAAATATTTGCAATGTGTCATAATACAGCTTGTCCTTGAGATGAAATTTCTCTTGTTGAATACATTACATTTGCCGAAGCAAAAGGATGCAGGTGGTGTGGCTATGGTCATCATTGAGCGTGAGTCTTCTACATACACGACCTTCCTACATTCACATAAACATTGATGAACACTCATTGACACTTTTTACGAAAGTCAAGATAAGCTTTACGAATAAGTCATTTATTTAGATGTTTCGGTTGTGTGATAACTATTAGTCATTTTCTTTTTCAGTATCAGTATTAGAAAAGATAACAAAGGAAAAAACCAAGACATATATACATATATAATTGTAAACATTTGCACTGAAGAAGGTAGTCCACTGACTATAGAAACATTTGAATAAATGAATTATTCATAAATAACACAAGAAAAACACGAAAATCTATTTAACAATAACTGGTAAATGATTAAAGCTCAGTTTATATCTCTTTTATTTTTCTTTGCAATCACATATCACTTATTTGTTTCAAAAGAATAGACAATGAAGAAAAAAAAAACACATGCTATGTATTTCTTTTTCAAAAAACATTCTCTTTTCCTAACATCGAGTAGCATACTGATGATATTTCTCTTCTTTGAGTAGAATAAATTGAAAGCGAAAAGAGGCAAAAAGAGAAAAAATAATTCAAGAATGTAATGCATGCCATAGTAACAAAGACAGAACAAAACATAAAAACAGACGAGAAAAAGCATAGTATGAAACTCAAAATGAATTGCATCTGATAGCCATGATGAATTTTGACTATCTGACGAATAGTTCTACAATATAGACTGAACTTTGTATGTCTATAAGCGACATATTAAAGATTTAAGGTATTCAAAGATTTGGTATATGAATACATCACTGTGATTTATTGATTATTTTAGTTTCGTTCTGGCTAATACGTCTTTCGTTGAGGTGCATTGATGTATCCATTATTCGGTAGTTTAATAAACTGCTCAAATATGATTTGATTACCGAATGAGAGAAATAAGCATTAAAAGAAGATAACGAAATGGTTTTTGAGCATTTAGAATAATATCAATCCAGATATAGATAAGAGGATTTCGACTATTGAAAACAGCCGTTAATATATAAATGGTTTCTTTTGATCATTTTGTTTCTGATTGCTGTTTAGAAATCTCAACAAAATATAAATTATATTTATGCTACTTTTACATTCGCTAATATGATGAGAATGAATACTCTGATATCAAAAATTCGAATAAATACAAAAGGTGATTGAGTGTGTTGATCAAATATCAAATACTCGATTTATAACAATATCTTATAGATGAGTGTGGATGTCGGATGAAAATAATAAATATATTCACATGCACAACACCCAAGGTAACTTACCAACAAACATCTTCAAGTGTCAAATGACTTCCCGACCGATGCGACGTGTATTTGATGCATAATAGAAATATCTAAAATGCTTTAGTTTTCCGCGTTTTTGCTCTCAATATTTTGAGATTTTCAATTAAAAAAACTCTGATCTCCGTTAGCTCACTCGAAAAATTGACTTTCAAGTTTCAGTTTCCAAGTTTGTATGAACAGAGATCTTTTTTCTCATCACTCTAAGATAAATCTCAAAATCTGGACAATATATCTAAACAATAATAACGAATGTAAAGAAGAGTAAAAATTGTCAACTATCCGGCATGAATCTATTCGAAGAATAAAAACTAAATGATAGGAACAAAGCAAATAGAGTATGGGTGTGCAATTGCTCATAATATACTAGGCATCTGCAAAGTGGTCCCGGTCCCGGCCGGACCGGGACCGGGACCAAAATTTTGACTTTTACCGGGACCGGGACTAAAATTTTACTTTTGCCGGGACCGGGACCGGGACCAAAATTTTCAAGCTAGTCCCGGTATTATTTTTTATCAGAAACTCGATTCTGCGTTTAGGTATTTCTTATATTTTTGTGATCAGAAATCTAAAAAAACAGCAATTTTCTTTACAATTCTGATAAAAATTTTCATCGATCCTCGTTTCAGTTTCAAGAATCGGAATTTTTTCACCATAATACAATTTTTAACTGGCATCGAGTCCAGACCGGGACCGGGACCGGGACCAAAAAAAAATTTGGGCCGGGACCGGGACTGAAGAAAAATTTTGACCGGGACCGGGACCGGGACCGGGACCAAAAAAACTGATTTTGCAGATGTCTATAATATACACCCACACCCTCTAACGATAGAAAACTAAGTAAGAAAAATTCTATCAAACAAAGACAAATGTTCAGAAATACTTCCAGTTTATATCAGTACCATGACATGAAATAAGAAAACCTGTGAATTAAAAAAAGACTAGTTTCAGTCAGAAATATTTTCTTTTTTTCGTCTACTGATCAATATCAAATGGAATTCCATTACTAGCAATTCTAAACATCGAAGTACATGAACTTGTAACACTGAACCTCTGTAGCAAACAAATAAAAAGTGGATTAGTTGTTTTCTAAGTCAAAAACGTCGACTTGAAACTCTTATTTTAACAACTACATTGAAGCACATATGTACAATATCCATTTATTTCACAAAAAAAAAATTATTTACAAATAAAAAAAAACAAGAATAAGCTTTTCTTTGATCAAATCTAAACATGAGTAATAAGTCTTCGTTGACGTTGTTTTTGTTTATAAATTTTTAGTTGTTTTTTATGATACTTTTCAAGACAACGATAATGCAAACAGAAACAACACCATGCAATCAATACGAAGAATATAAAAGTAAAAATGATAAAGTAAATGAAATAAAATCGACATTCTTGATCATTCAACATTTCAGATCCCATAGTATAATTGTAATTATAAAGTACCATATCGATCGACCCTGATTTTATTATACAAGGCATGATAAAATTTTTCTTTTCTATATTATGATATATTTGTTGACTTTTCTAATATCGATGTGTAACTATCAAATGAAAATATGTTATTAAACGATTTTTCTTCTCTCTCGTTGCATATTATAAAATAACTTTAAAACAAAGAGTTGTATTCATCACAGATGTTGTAAATAGATGTGCCTTTTGATTTGTTTGACAATTGGTATGATTATTCATTGATCTTAATTAAATAACAAATACATACAAATAAAAGAACAACTTAATTGGTTTGATTCTTTATTCCTTTATTCTTTTTTTTTCGAAAGAAAGCAAAAGAAAAAAAATCATGCAATTCCCTTTTGTTGAGTTTCTATCCTGACGGAAACTGATCATAAAAGGGAAACGATATTAATCGAATGCCTTCTTTTTCATGGTTTTAAATAAAATTGAGATGGAAACAAGAATAAAAATGAATTCTTGATATGTGATTTTAT